GTCCGGCATGCTCAGGTTCCTGGCAGCGTAGCACATCTTCAAGGGGATGACTTTGCGGTCCTGGGGGGGGCTCTGGCGCTTGGGGGAGCACGACTCCTCGCTGAGGCTGAGGCTGGGCGACTGCGGAAACGCCCCGTCCCACGGCAGGTCGGACACCAGTGACGGCTTCTTGATGTACGGAGTGGCCTCCCGCACGTACTTCACTAAGAGCAGGCGGAGAAGGGGGGGGCTGAGCGTTTCCCAAGAGCCCCATGGAGTGGCTCCCCTCGATGGGCTGAACCCGGGGAGGTCGGTTGGGCAGAAAGCAGCCCCATGGCACCCCCGGACTCGCCTTAAAGACCCCAAACCCTCCTCCGCCCCCCAGGGAGCCGCCTGCCAAAGGAAGGGCAGGCTCGGAGCAAGATGGACTCTTGCAAGGCGGATTCCGCTTGGCTTTCTGCTTAATGCTGCTCTCCCCCCCCCCCCCCCAGGCAATCCTCTGCTCTCTCCCTGCAGCTACTCCCAGGCCGAGCGGCCATTTCACCACCACAATCCCGATGGGGACCCGTCACGATGCTCAGCGCAAAAGCAACTGGGAGTGGGCGAGACTTCCGGGTGTCCCCCTGAAAAGCAGAGGAAGGGTCTCCCACAGCTCTGCCCAAGAGCCCAGCTCTCCATTTCTGAGCTGCTCAATGCTGCCCACCCAGCCAGGCAGTGGCGGCGGCGGCAGCAGCAGCAAAGCGGTGTGGGGCAGCCCCCTACCTGCCTGGCAAGGAGAGCAGCCCCGCCCAAGGTGCTGGTTCAGGGATCAGCTCTGAGAGGATTAGTGCAGCCAGGCCTCTAATCCAGCTCCACTAGGGACCGTTGGCAGCCGGAGACCTTGGCTCCAGCAAGGAAAAGCTGCAGGGAAGTTCTACCTGTCCCCGGGGCTTAGAGGCCGTTTCTGGGCCAGTCACCGCCAGCACTAGAGGCAGCCTTTGCTCTGGTTGCAAATGGCTCACAATCTGGTTAGCCCTCGTTATGTCTGCTTGCTTGTGTCAATGAGCTCTTGGTCAGAAGCCATGCAAAGAGACAAGGGCAAAAGGAGAGGGCAAATCTGGATCAATGATCTGTCGACAGTTGATAATCGTGAGCCCCTGCTTGCGAAGGAGAAGCCTGCCTGGCAGTCACAAAAACCTCCGGCACGTGCTAAAAGCCTGAAGAAAACTCTCAAAATCCCACCAATCTTCCAGCCTTTAGGAAGATCAGCTGGGGGAACGGCAGTCCTAGAGTGGTGAAGAAGAAGTAACTGCTAGACAAACACGAGCCAGCTCCACTTTTCAGCAGAAAATAAAGTCTTAATGACTGACCTAAGCAAATCCTTCTTCTGCTGGGCTGCTCTTCCCAGAACGCTCCTTGGGGTCTCCTGATGAGCACCGAGCCAAGTTATGTGCAGCAGAGAGGAAGCAGCTGGCATGGGGGCACCAGGAAAGGGCATCCGGTGCCAGCCACTTGCTTTCTCAGGCACCTCCGGTTGAAGCAGGGCCAGGGGAAATGCCGTCTCCGTTTCCCCATGCAAATCCCTGGCTCCATTCCTCGGATCCGCTTGCTGTCCTGGGCTGGCAGTCGATACCCAGACATAGTGCAGCCCTAAAAGGCAGGGAGCCAACCTTAACTCTCCTGAGCAGCCCTGCCAGGCACAGGGGCCTCAGAGGGGGCTCTGAGGCAGTGGCAGGTTCCAAAGAGAAGGGAACATAGAAAATATAGGAGCCTGTTTCTCTCTGGAAGGACCAAAAGGCTCACCCTACATTAAGACCGCCCCCCCCCAAGTCACCAATGAGGCAAGAACAGGGCAGGTGTTTACAGCTGTTTCCCAACCGGGACAGCTGCAGGAATGGCAGCAGGCTATTAGCTGCCTGAGCCTGGTCCGCAGGGCGCACCCTTAACAGGGCCGGTGGCAGAGGGGGGCCACCTGCGCATCCTTGCTGGCCTCGCGCCCAGCCTGTCCAGTGGGGCTCCTGGCCTGTGCAGAGTGGGGCTGGGGGGGTCAGAGCTTCACACACAGCTGCCTCAGTGGTCCAGAGGGAGCCTTCCAGCCAAGCAGCTGGGCCCTTTGGGGAGGGAAGAGCACCGCCTTCCCGGGTCAGACTCAGTCCAGCCTCTCTGCAGACCCCGGGGCTCCAAGAGGGCCCAGGGGGAAGGGGGGCAAAGGGAGCAGCATTCCTTCTGCGGCGACCAGTGGAAAAGGCCCCTCCTAGGAGGCTGGCTCAGTAGAAAGAGCTCCACAGCTGGCTACCAGATGTGCACTCTCCAGTATCCCCGCCCATAAAGCTCCCCTACCCTCCTATGCCCAACAGCCTTCGCTCCTCTCCAGCCAGCTCCAAGGAGCAGCAGCCAGCCGAGGACTCAAGTGCTGGGAAGAATAAATCGGAGCCGGTGGCCGCCTTTGCCAAGTGCAAAAGTGTTTTATTCAGCACCCGTCCCCCACCAAAAAACAACCACCTTGGGCTGAAAGGCAAAGGAGTCAGGAGGGGCTGAAAGAATCCTGTGGAAGAACGGAAACGTTTAGGCCTCTCAAGAAATCTCATGTGGGGGCCAGGTTGGCTGCCCACGAGGAGCCAAGGCAAGCTCAACCGGACAGAGACGCCATTGGAAAAGGCCCAGAGGGTGGTCTGGGGGCCTCGGGCAGCTTCACCGCCCTTACAGTAACCTTTTCAGCTGCAAAGCCTCCGAATGCCACCCAAAGTGTTGGACTTTTGAGAAAGACCTTCACTTGATACAACAGGAACGCTTCTGCAAGAGGCCAAGGCGGCCTCAAGAGGTCACTCTATTCGCCCCATGAAGACTGAGCCCAGCTGGCCGCAGCCCCCATTATTCTCCAGAGGGGCTGCAGCCGAGGAAGAGCCGCTGCTCAGAGAAAGGGAAGTTTTCACAACCCTTTGCATTTTGCATAGGGGAGGAGAGGAAATGCACAGTGCCCCCCCCCCCACACCCGAAGAAACACGCCCTGCTCCCAGTCCACAGCTGCCTTTCAGCTGCAAAGAGCACCCGGGGCAGGAGACCCTGCAGCCCCCCCAGAGGGCAAAGGAGGGGAAACGGGAGGGAGGGAGGGAGGCAGGAGCAGCCACCACGGCCGGGTGGGACCTTCTGGCTCCCCACAAGCTCCCCCCCCCATCGCTCTTCTCACCACCCTCCCTTAAGGGGGTGCCGCGTTTCCATACGTTTTCCTACCCAGAGACATTTACAGTGCATAAGAACTAGGAGAACAAAAAGGTGAGCCAAAGTGGCCCTTGGGGGCATCCTGAGCAGAGTCCCCCAGCCGTGAGTGCACCAAGTGGGGAGACTTGGGGGAAGCCTGGCCAACTGAGGGGCCAGTGTGCAGGAGGGCCCCCTCAAAGGTCAGCAAAGGGCAGCCTTCTACCTCCGGTCAGGGCAGTGAAGGTCAGTCCCCCTCAAGAGTTGGGGCTGCCCTTTAAGGTCCCCTCAACTACAACCACTGCAAGGGGCGATTGGCATCGGGCCCCCAAGATCAGCCTCCCTTTCCTTTCTCTGCTGCCCTGATGGGGGCGGGGGGGGGGCACTTCTTATGCAAAGGAGGGGGGGAAAGGCAGGCTGGGTTCCAACAGGAGGAGCAGCAGCCCAGGGAAACGCTGCTGGGGTCACTTCCGACCAGGGTCCCCCTGGACACCCAAGCTTGCCTTTGCCTGGTCCTGGGTTGCGAGTTACAGCAGGAAGCCCAGCCTCCCCTGCAGCTCCGCTCACGGGGCCCACAAAAGGCCCATCGAGGCCAAGAGGAGAGCGAGGCCCCGCGCCAGCATTGCCTCCCCCGGCCAAAGAACGAAGAAGAGCCGGGAAGCGGCAGGTGTGCCGGGCAGCAGCCCCACCAACCCCGTGCCCAGGTGACCCGCCAGCCCCCCGCCCTCGGCCGCCCTCCCCACCGGACAAAGCAGCGGGGCCCCCTGGCTGCCTCCTGCCCCGCCGGAGCCGAGCCCCCCGGGCCAGGGCTGCCCGATGCGCCCGCTGACCTTCATCAGGTCCCCGGCTCCGCAGCCCCGGCCGGGCGAGCTCCTCGGGTTTCTTCGGGGGGCCGGAAGGCCGGCCAGAGGCGCTCGGGAGGCGCTGCCCCCGCCGGCTCCCCCAAGACCCCCCCGGCTGCTCCCGGGGGGCGTCGCCGGAGGAGCCGCCGCCGCCGCCGCCGCCGCCCAGCCGCGCTTACCTTCCAGCAGGACCTCCCGGCCGGCCCGCTTGAGCGCCTGCACGGCCTGGTCGTGGGTGGCGTCGCGGAGGTCCAGGCCGTTGACGGCCAGGATGGCGTCGCCCAGGTGCAGCGCCCCGCAGCGCTCGGCCGCCAGGCCCGGGAAGATGCGCGAGATGAGCACCGGCATGCGGTTCTCGCGCCCGCCCTTGATGCTGATGCCCAGCCCGCCCGCCTCCGCCTTCACCACCCGCACGCGCCGCACCCCGGCCGGGGGGGAGCCCGGCGCCGAGCCCCGCGGCGGGGAGGGCGGCGAGGGGGCTCCGGCGGCCCGCTCGGGGGAGGCGGCGGGCGAGGCGGCGCCGTTGGGCAGCCCGTTGCGCGGCTCCGGCTCGGAGCTCAGCGCCAGCGCCTCCCCGCTCAGCTCGGCCAGCGCCCGCACCCAGCGCTCCCGCAGCAGCACCTCCACCAGCCCGGCCTTGCGGGCGCGCGTCCACACCGCCATGCCCGCCGCCCAGACGCCGCCAGTGGGCGGCCGGGCGGGGCCTCTTGCAGGCGCGGGGGGGGGGGGGGGGGGGGAGGAAGAGGGGGCTGGCCCCGCCCGCCGGTTCGTGCCGAGGGC